ACAAGGGATCGAATGAACGAGATCTGGAGCGTCCCCTCATAGTTAGCGACGAAAATTCCAAAGGGGATTATGCACACACCTTTCTGTTGACGCAGGTGTGTTCGGGGTTTGCTCATTTTTATACGCGAGCCCCAGCAACGCTGTCGAAATCCTAACGATCATTAGCCAGCATGTCGCAAATGTGATGTGTAGACCCCTTACCTTTAGTAAGGTGGACAGTCTGGCGACTGCATCTCGACCGCCCATCTCTTCCACCCGGCCAGCTTTCATCCTGTTTGCAACAAGTCGCTTGACGACTTGAACGTACTTTGGCGCACTCGATGCCATGTCCTCGTTAGTAATCTCCGGGTTTTTCAGTTGAGCGATGACCACTTTAAGCCACCGCTCAATGCCAGACCATTGAAGGACGTGGCCGCCGAGGGCAAATGTCTGTACTCCTTGTACCCTGAAGACGAAGTGGATCGTGCCAGAGGGGAAAAACACCGTATGCCCCGGTGAGAGAATGACGTATCTCCATTCACCCCGGTATAGCCATGCGGATTGGCTATCCATTCATCTTCTTCCTGCTGACTTAGGCGCGACATCCATCCAAAGCCAATGTTTCCTTCTTGGACCGTGACCCAGGTTGAATAGCCGTGACTATCCATATGCGGCGCCGTGTTATGTCCTCCTTCAGATAGGAGTGCCCATTCTACGACGTTGCGCCATGTGTTCCAATCTTCTCCAGATGCTGCTATCCTCTGAGCACCGTTGCCCATCAGAATGGCATCACGCATTCGGAGGAAAGTTGGCAGTTGTCGCCTTCCAAAAAAGACGGTAGGGTCGAAGGCAATGAACCCTGCAGATCGAGAAGGTTCCAGGGGTCGCTTGTTGACCCCTGGCTGAAAACCGGTTTCGGACTTGGAAAAGCGTCCTACGCTCCGAAGACTCCTTGAGCGAACTGCGAGAGGGCACCCGAACGGACACAGTCCGATCGAGGCCAAGGTCTTCCATGTGATAGAACAGCTGTGAAATTGGGCGGTCCTTCCCCTTCCACTGGAATCGCTGCTGGCCTCGCGTGAAAATAGGCACGTCGACCAATCCAAGCTCTGCACGTTGGGCCGCTTCCTCTCCGCTTAGGAAGTATGCATCTTCGCCTGTGGGCGGCCTGCTTTTGGACAGGATTTGGGAAACCAACTCGTCCGTTTGACTCCCCCAAGAATTGGGCTCATGTTCCGTCGATTCCATGTCCTTAAGCACTCGCCGGCGATAGGCTTCGTCGCGAATTGAATCACGTTTTGGCCGGCCGTCTAAGCTCGACGTAGCCGGCAGACTACCACGGCTGGGCGCATCTTGATCATCAGACCGGAGCCGTTTTAGAGGGGTAGTGTCGATGAGTTCGGAAAGCGAGGCACGCCGGCGTCGGGGAGTGTTGCTTGCATCAGGGCCGGCCGTTTGGAGCTCCTTCTCCGCCTTTGGAGATGACCTGAAGGACTTTGTGCTGGTGACTGCCTCTGTGTACTTTTTGAGATGTGAATGACACATTTCCTGGAAAGAAACGCCGGCCAACATGAATGTAGGCATCTGCCCAATTACGGCGCCGTCCATCTTGTCCAAAAACGCTAATAACGTTGATGATATTTTGGGTGGACAACATCGCTTTGCAAACGCGCAGTGCCGAGCAGCTCGGGCTGACGGAGTGGTTTGGACCTCTTCGGCGGCGCTTCGTAGTAGCCTGGCTTGCCACTTCGTCCTCGGAGTCGCGCTACAGGAGCATTGGTGGCGTGTTGGCAGTCCGCGTTTCTAGCACTTTCCGCTGTTCCGCCGCCGGACTTGTCGGAGTTTGTTACTCGTGAGCGAAGAAGCTGGCGGAATGATTGATCTTTGGGGAGCCGGCAGTCATCGGCGTCGCTATCGGCGGGTGGGCTGGTGTCGGCCAGCCCTCGTGCGGCATTCCCGAACGGGACTCCGGCAGCGGAAAGGGTGGCAGGAGGAGACTCTGGCGGTGAGCTCAACGGCGTTGTCGACTGGGAGGGACCTGGAGAAGAGGAATGGGCGGCGCCGGCATGACGTTCTGTAGAGCTAGCGTCCTCACTGCTCTCGTTGGCGGCGGATGGCCCGTTTGGTTCCTCATGTGCAAGGACAGCATCGAGGACCTGTTCGACGAAACGGCCGAAGTTCGAGTCCCCCGGGCTGGCGCCGTGCGGGGGATCAAGCCCCGGCACGCCGACGTCGCAAGCATCGTTGGGTCCCGAGCGTCCAGTGATATCAGCACCGAACGCGGCTGCCGTTTCAATGGTGTCGGCGGGCAGCGAGACAGCAAACTCCTCTCGCATCATGAGCCCAAATTTGTCGAAGCCAAAGCCGGGAGGCAAGTCGGCAGCAGCCAGTTTCCGGTACGGAAGAAAGTCTTTGCCCTTGTCGAATGAATCTCGGTGCGACCAGGCCTTTAGATTCACTAGATCGGCCTGATCGATCGGGTTGAGCACTTCGCGCAATCGACGCTGCCCCCGCCCGGTGGCCAAATGCCGCCGCAGCATTAACCTGTTCAACTTCGTCACAGCCTCGTCCAGATCACGAAGCTCCCGCGCTGCGGCGCCGGTAACTTCGCAATATCTTACCCCCTTAGAAGCCAACTGGTAGTGCTGGACAAAATCTGCGCCCCAATATCGGTCTACCGTTTTCAGAGGACCGATACATCTGGACTTGACCTCCGATCCGCCTCGCGCCGCGTCGGCAAATCTCTCCCACTTGGCCGCATCCTCTCTGGTTTTGATTGGCAGCCTCCGCGTTTCGCCTTTCTTTTCCTTCCATTCTTTGTACCCCACATACTCGTCCATTATGATATGCTCATAAGCAGACACTAGGAGCTGCACCTCGGTATGCCGC